TTGGAAAGTTGAAATTCATATCATTGTGGGACAATTCTACTACCAGTCCTTCATCACCTTACACGAAATAGGGTTAATACATCTCATTACAATGGATAAGTCTGCCTTTTAAGGCAAGCCAAGGCTCTTTCAGATTACATTCTTTGTCAGATTGTCGATGAAGCTAACTTCTAAGGTATGAAGACCATGATTGTGTGGCATTTTGTGTGGTCGCAGTCTCCTTTCGTTGTATAGAGGTTGTTTGACCTTGTTTTCACAACGTGACAATAGTGGTAGGAAGACTTAGAATAACGCATCTAGTCCCAAGTCCATTGTCTGCATGATCATTTTCAAAGTTGAACTGTGGACGTGGTACATTCCCAAACGTTTCGCCGGCATCGTCAGTGAGTATCGCCATCCTTGGCACCATTCAACAACTCGTCAAAGAGACAAGTGAAGCCGATCCTTTGACCAAACGTGTGCTAAACCGTTGTGAATGTGAATAGCCCAGGGCAGAAGGGGAGATACCAGTTTGGTCAAAGGATCGGCTTCACTTGTCTCTTTGACGAGTTGTTGAATGGTGCTACGAATGGTGATACTCACTGATGATGCCGACTACGATGCCGGTGAAACGTCTGGGAATGTACCACATCAACGGTCCTAATCTGGAAATGATGATGGTGCGTTCCTATAAGTCTTCCTACCAATATGACCAAGTTGCGAAAACAAGGTCAAACAACCTCCAAGCTAACTTCTGGTTGCCGTTCACAATCGGAGACTTTGCATATTTGCTATGGGAATACCTGTCGAGGTTATATACCCGCAGTCCTGGCATCTCCTTAATCGGATTATGATTTCAAGTCTCTACAAATGCTACCGCCGAGAAGCTGTGCTGCGCCGTGAAGGCATCTGCCGCTTGACAGAGTCGCTTACCGCCAATGTCCTGCTTGGGCCCCCATCCTGTGAGGCTTAAATGCAACTGACTGGACTCTTGAGATATTCCAAACAAGTCCTTTAATCCCTTCTCCTCAACACACCAA